GTCATAACCATTTCGCTGGCTGACTTGGCAATGCGAACCACATTGGTCATAATCGCACATAAATCGCTTACTCTTACATCCAATTAAGTTCCATCTCATTGAGGAGTAAAGGGTATAGGCCATTCGGTTGGCAAAGTAAAGCTAAAGCCAAGAACGCAGCCTCCATCGGTAATTGTGAATGACAATAATTGCGGAGACAATCGGCAGGCCGTGTAGAGGTGATTTTGGCCACATTCTGCCCAGGAGACATCCGTTGGAACGTGCAAGATGTTGGCGCCAACAGCGCCACCCAATAATGCCACAGAGAGAGATAATAATAAAGACGAATTCCTGGTGTGGATCAGGGGTCTGGGAGTGTCCACTTCAGTGACAGTTGGAAACTTGGGGCGGGGGAACAGTCTACAAGTGTGACACTTTTATAGACCATTTCTATTCTATTCCTCAAGCTTTGCTTCTCTAATAATCCTTTTGATAAATAAACACCCACTTATAATCATAAAACCATTGCAATCAAATCAAAACGCAAGTCTGGAATCAACAAAAGCTCATGACCCAAATCAGAATGCAACTTCAAAGACCATTTACGACAACGACAATTAAATGAAGTTTTATGTCGGAATGGTATCACCTCCAAAGTGATGGCCGGATGACACGCCCGGGGCAACTGGTCTCTTTCCCAGAAGGGAAATCCTTTCGCATGTCAACTGACAATATTTCCACCACTCCGACTGCCTCTAGCCGCTGACGGCGACATCTAGTGAACTCTAAACTGCAGAATAACTAAATATAAAGCCGGGAAGAAGAGTACCCGACTTTTCGGGGCACAATCGCCGCCATTCAGGGAAATATTTTGATGACATTTATGCGTCCACTGGCGGCAGAGACGACACAGAGCTCTAATTAAATTTAATAGCTGCACAGCGACATAAAATTGAGCCACCAACGTGGCCGACCAGAAGCAGGCCCTCCCCTGGCCGGACGGGATTGAGTTATAGGGCCTGGAACTGTGGCAGTCGTAAACACATTTGATTTGATTTCTGGAAAGGCTTCTTCACTGGGCGGATTGTTGATTGAATTGTCACCTCAATTTAATGATCCACAGACACACACACAGCAGAAAAGTATCTTTCACACAAGCCGCCGTCGCTCAGTTTGATGTTATGCCATCCAGGGGGAATAATATCATCATGTGGCAGTCGGTAAAGGCGCCACCAACGCTGCTGACAAACACTTTATATATATAGGATATATATCTAAATAAATCCACTTCAGTGTACCGCAGGGACTGTCAAAGGTGTCAGACGTTTTATTGCCTTTGCGGACGACCTGTTGAAAAGTTCATGGTCACGATGTGGGCCGACTTTGATGATAGTTCTTAGATCTTTTGGTTTTTACAGACACTAGATGGGGGGGTAGGATAATCTTAAATACTACTACTATCTAAGAGTTTAAATAAAAAGTGTAAAGAGAAACTGACCTTCTGGGCAGACACACATTATTTGAGAACCCAGATCATAGGTGAACATAACCGATGAACGAGTTGAGGGGCTTGTCCAGTCACTTGAGGTTGTTTTGTATCCCAAGTTTAATTAAATTTCTGGCATACGACATCAGCAATCAAGCAGACGGGCCAGGACTGGTGGAATGGCAAGAGCGGAGCACCGTCACCATTGGCTTAGATGCACAGTCATGGACATGACTCTGTGTAAACGGACATGCACATTTGAATTTGGTTAAATAGTCCACCTGGGCCGTGCCAGTAAACATTCCCATCCAACGTCCAATCCAGAGTGCCTAATGTTTTTGAATTGGATCGGCTGGGCGTCACAGGACTAGGACTAGGACTGGGATATGGAAATGGGACTTGGTCTGGCATGAGTTGATGGAATGCCCTTGTATTCGTGCCGACACACAAAACACGAGAATATGGCAGTCTGTACGCCAGCCGCCGTGTGCTGCTAATATGTAGTAGCCGGCTTATAAAATGTTACAAGTTTTGTATTAATTAAAAACTTTGCCTTGTGTGTACTCTACCCGCAGCTCTTTACACACATAAATTTTTAGCTGGGCGCAGCTCCTTTTTCCCCATTTCCCATTTCCCATTCAGGTGCTATTCGGGTGGCGCGGGTTTTGTCTATTGTGTTTTTGGCCCCCATGCTCTCTAGCCGGCCGCTTCCATGTCCACATCCACGTCTGATTTTGGGGCCGGACGTTGGGACCGCCCCAAAAAGACAAGCATGCACCGTTTTGCAATTTAAGCTTGTCGTCGTCGTCGTCGTCGTAGTAGTCGGTGATGGTGTGCGTCCCTTTCATTCGGTCAGCCATGCATCCACATCCCCACAACCACTTCCATGGCTATATCCATGGCTGACTACCACTACCACTTCCATCCATCCATTAACGTGTTTGACCTAGCCGGCAATTCGGTTTGACATGCGGGTAAATTGAATTTTCCTTGTTTCGCATTTGTTTCGACTTGTTTCTTTTTTGATTTTGGACCGTTGTACGAATTACTTATTCAAATTAAAAATATTCCTTTTCTCTTTTTCTCCCATTTTTATTCCAGCATGTTTGCGCCACCGATGGATGACTGGGGAATATTTATTTGGCGTCCGTCCGACCGTCCACCAGCCCTCCTGGGAGATCCCGCCACCCATTTATTAACAAACACTGCGTACATATGTAAATGGTGGGCATGCCAGGTATGTAGCTACATAATCCTGTTAGCATACAAGTGTAACTGAATCCATCTGCATATACTTTGTCGGCTTGTACAGATTTCACTTAGAATATATCGGAGGTTTCCCAAACAGAAAGTTTCTGCAGAACAGATAGTTTGCCTTGCAAAGTTAACCATTAGAGAACCCTTACTGTATCTCATAAATTTCATTCCTATTTGTAAGATACATCATTAGAAAATACGCCCATTTAATTACCAAATGATCGTCTGCTTGTGAACACTTACAGCTTCATAATAATATTTAATTTTTTTTGGGTCTCCACTCTTTGCACATTTTGCAGATACCACATCATTTATAATTTCGCGGATGAAGAGCCCCCGGGATGAGGCATTAGGTTAAGTGGCAATCGCCCTCTGATTTATGGCTATTTCCGTCTCGTTGCAATTTCAGTGATTCAAGGAATTGGTAGCGCCGCAAATGAGCTGCCAGTTGGCAGTTGCTCATATGTCCGTACATGCAGAAAGCGGCCTCCGGCGTGTTGGCTTATTAATTGATTGCACTTATGGCCCCAAAAGATTTGCATGGCGTTCGTATGCGGCATACGAGTGCGGAATTCATTATTTCCGGGAACAGTGCATTTGTACGGCAATTAGTCCGCTCGAGAACATAATACGCCACGCCTTTCCACGGCAGCTTGGGGTCTACAGGGTTTTTGGGGGCAGGGAGCTTGGGGTCTTGGGCGTTGAGGCCCATGTTCCTCTGCGGACGGCATAAATCATCTGGCAACGGGGCCGACGCCCCAGTATCAGAATCAGCCCTGGATATATGTGCGTATATGGGACATAAATACCCGGGGCTGGTCCCAAAACGCTGTCTAATTGAGAGACATCTCGGCTACCGAGCAGGGCGACCACAAATCTGGCGGATCGTATTGAGTTCTCACACAGAACTGAGTCCCCGGTCCTCAGAAAAGTGTCGCGAGCGAAACAATATTTCCATGTCTCATTTGCGGCGACCCCTCGAGAATTGGGGCTTTGCATTTTCCTCAAAAAAATTTGAGTGGGGTCGCACGCAAGTCATAAATATAATGTTAAAAAAATTGTCTATATCTGATGAACTAGGGAGTACCGATTCTCTTAGGTATAGTACTATACGATAGACTTTATATTATAAAGTAAAATTAAATTGGGTTTTAATATTCAAAGTTTAAAGACTTTCAAAAACCATTATTATAGCTCTCTGGTTAAATATTTGAAATCCTAGTTCTATAAAGTCTACTTTCCAAAAGACTCATCATACCCTTTATTACCTTTGAATATTGTAGAAACTTAATTCTTGTTTTTTATTATTTATGATCTTCTAATTCAATATATCTTTAATGCAATAAGTTATGGGGGGAATGCATTCTGATTTAGTGTCAAAAATTTTTGATTGCCAGCAATTAACCATTTTTAAAATCAGTCCAGGTAATAACTCAAAAAAACAGCTCTTTTAAAGGAAAGCTAAAAATATAAATATAAATTTAAAAAACTGGCTAATAAATGAGTTGTTAGTTGGAATATTTCAAACATTTTTAGTAAAAATAGACGTTTATTGTTTTTGGAAGAGAAATTATCATATAATGTGGAGTTATTTAATCTCAAAATTAGGGCAAGAATATAAGTAATTTTATTATTTATGTTTACAGTTTTTTTTCATAAAGTTTTGATTTAAAAATAAAGCAATTATGTACTGCAACTGCTTATTAAATAAGTGGAAACAATGGAAATTGCTTGTATTATGTCTGCCAGCCTTGCTCCTGCTCGCTTTTCTTGTTTCTGCTATCACTCGTCAGTGGCTCTTGGGCTTCACATCTATATCTATATCTATACCTATATATTTTTATATATTTATGTATTTAGATCTATGTCTATATCTTGTGGACTATGTCGTCCGGAGTCGCGCTCACGCCCACTTCTTAACATGCGCTACAAGTGCTAAAAATGCTGAAAACATATTTCACAATTAATTGTCGCCTTGCGCCTCGCTATGCGACAACCGCCCCTCCGCCCTGGGCCGCCTCCTCGGCCCCACAATGCGCCCCCCTCAGGCACGCCCCCGTGTCCCGTCCCTCGGCTGTCGTTATTATATTTTCCTCGCATTTTTAAGTGTTGTTCGACATGGCAAAAACAGCGCGTTGCTGCTTAATTTGTCGTAATTAATGCTTATGAATAGTTTGTACTTGTCGTATTTGTTAGAGCCACATCCCGAGATTTTGCTGCCAGCGTAGGTGGGCACTATACTACTAGACAACAAAAACAGCAAAAAAATTAAGCTTACCTGGAGCTTAACGAGCTCGGGATGATCGTTGGCCAGCTTGGCCAACTCCTGGTAATTAGCCTTCGCCATCGAGACGATCCACTCCTTAGCCTTGGGATGCGACAGCGACACTTCGGGCGAATCCTTTTCCTCGATTAATTGCTGGAAGACACCGAAAGCAGAGAGGGTTCTGTTAGAGTGGGGCATAAATTAATTATGCATGTTTCTGCCACTTTGTCTAAGACTCGGTGTGCGGGGGCGACCATAGTGGCAACAAAAAAATAAAACACCAAAAGAACAAAAATGAAAAACATTGGCACGAAACAGGAATAAAACATAGAAAGCCCATTGAGAGCATTAACGCCAACACAGTCCGCCGCCTCTCGGAATATACGATTCTAATATACCCACTCACATACACACATACTCCCCACCCACTGGAACACACACTCCCCACCCACTGGCTATGGTTGCCCCACAATCCTTGTGTGTGGCACCCGATGGATGTGCATATGGATATGGATTTATGCTAAGGGGTAGAGTAGGATGCACTTGGGGAAAATCGAGAAAATAATTTTAGAGAAAGGGGTATACTTATAAGGATAGTGTTAAAAGGTGGGTAGGTTATTTTATAAAAATATTTAGAAAACTATAGACTCTACTCTATAGAACTGTCTACCTATTTTAATAAAAATTTTAAAAACGAAACCCTATTATATCTGTAAAATATTCCTCTCTTTCTGTTTTAAACTTCAAACTTAAGTTTATTTTTAATATTTTTTCCCAAGTGTAACATACAAGATGACTTTTGTTGGGGATGGTGTATGCTATATGGGGTATATGTTGCCAGGGTGCAGACACGGGCGTAAAAGCTGGATGGTAATTATGCTCACGCATTCGACGGCGCCATAGGAGCATAGTCCTCGGCATCGCCTTCGCCTTCGCCATTGCCATGTTTCTTCACTAATTATGAAGGTAATAATTTTTATTTATTAGGCGTGTGCTTGAGGCAGGAAAGTGCGATGGGTTTGGTTTGGGCTTTCCTTTCGAGCTCTCGAGGATCTCCCCTGCCACCGCGCCAAAAGAAAGTTGTTGCGAGTTGTTTTTTTGGTTCGGTGATTTACAAGCACACACACACTTTTTAGACTCTATGAGGAGAAGGGGCACCTTTTTTTTGGATAAACTCTGGCGCTGATAATGAGCCCTCTAATGATTCGGTGGATGGTAGATGGTGGCAGCAGCCGGAGGACAAGGAGGCGGAGGTATCTCCGAACACATGTGCCCGCGACAATAATAACAGCAGCCGACATGTGTGCCTCATATTTACGAGTGCGTGCAACACATTTTCGGCAACTAATTATCCATTCGCGTAATGTTCGCGGGACTAACAAGCAAGAGCAGTAAGAGCCCCCGGAATTCCCAGTTAGCATTCCTACCTGAACAACATCACCCACTCTCTAGGCCTTTATTAGGCCGTGGCCCTAACATTACATAGCTAATAAATACGCCAACATTTGAATGCCGCATTTAGCCGCAGGATGCGCAGGACGCGTGCCACTGCCACCAACCAAGATTCCTTTCCTTCTAGCCCACTCATATTTACACGCCACTTGACTCCCGGAGTGCTCACGTTTTTCCAATTATTCGCGGGTGGGTGGGTATCTGTGGTGTTCTCCCAGGTATCCTGGGGAAGTCGCCATTTGCAAATGCCGAGCCGTCGAGCATTACCGAGAAGGTAAGCAGGCGACAGGCGTATCAGAAACAGGACCAGGAACAGCAGCAGAACATCACAAAACAGTACAAACATTGAGACGCAGGGCCCCTGGCAAAGTGGCCATGTCAATGCTAAACAAAAGAGTCGAACCCAAAACAAAGCCCCAACCATCCAAACACCGAGAACAACTGAACCGCCCACTACACTGTAAAGGATATTGGAAAGGTTTATGATCAAGGATATGAGGTAATTATATTCAGAAATAGGGGAGTTAAGGGTAGGGAATGGCTACTCTTTCTATTATATTAGATAGTGCTAGATATCAGTATGTAATGAAAACTAGAAGTGCTTCTACTATTTTTTCCTAGTGCAGGCCACCCTTAGGTCCCCTGATTCAAAAGGTATGTTGCCTTTTTATGGCTTTGGCACTGCCCGTTGGAGCAGGAAGAAATTTAAAAAAAAAATGGCAAAAACCCAGAGAAACTCGGACTCGAAGCTCCAACTTTTGAGTCCAGAGTCCGGACTTGGAATTGGGGGTTGAGAGTTGAGCACCGGTTGCCCTTGTCTATTCCCCAGTCCAGTGCAGGCCAGTTGTGCCCTGAACCTCCTCCACTCCACTCCAGGACCACACACTCTCCCCAATCGCTTGTTTGTTGGCCAGTTTTCTTATGTCCCGTGTCCCTTTATGCCCGATATTATATCACACAGTTGGCCGTTGTCCTTTCCCGTCTAGATCTGGGATGAGGACTGTGTCCCGAAAGAATGGAAAGAGTGGGTGGTAGGTAGGTGGTGGGTCCGGGCCATGTCCCTTCAGTGTTTACGTTTGCCCGGCGAGTCTTACCTTTGGACCGATGCCACAAAATGGTCGTGTTTGCCATTGCCAGGGTCCCCGGGACTCATGGCTTCGGTCCGATCCGTCCGCTCCGTTTTGTTAAGTTTTTCCAGTGAAAAGGAGTGGTGACTGCTTCTCCTCAATGGCTTTGGCCTCGATGGGCAAAATGGGCAAAACGGGTGGAAATTGTTGCTGTTGTAAATTTAACCGCTTCGGGACACAGTCCGTTGTTGTTTAACAGCAATAACAACTTTTGGTTTGTTTCCTTACATTTTTAATTGGGTCCTTTGTGGCTGGCCTGGCCGTGATGAGAATGGCTTTGCCTAACTAATTTCTATTGCTGCTTATTGGCTATGTTAACATGTTTCACCAACTTGTTTTATGCAAAGGGTTTCGCCACGGGTTCGTTTTCGTCCCCATGCCACGCCCCTTTTGGCCTTGGGGCCGCCTGCCCTCCTCTAACATTAGAGGATGTGGGTGGGATGGCAGTTTTATATGCATTCTGGGACAACAAGGTGGATCCTATTTTAATAAGAATATATGCGGTTTGTTTGATGCTGCAGCAGGGTTGGAAGTTGCTTTAAAAAGGATATATATTTTTCAGGATGTCAGGGGGTTTAAATTAGAGTCACAGGGCTTTGGTTTAAATTAGTTTTGATAGTAGCTTTCTCTTCTTGCAGGCCCTTCTTAGTTGGCTATTTAACCTTCCCATTTTCATCAATCAAAATGGCTTTAAACCTTCTATCAATATTAGTTATTTGTTATTTAAATAAAAAATTCCATTTAAAATTAGCTAGTTGTTAGGGCGTAAATTAATCAATCCTTTTCCATCAGACAACGGTGCTGAGTGAGCGTACAAAATGCAAAATCATCGAGCTAATTAAAAACGATCGAATCGAATTTAATTGATCAGCTAGCTGGGACGCCTAGACGCCGAAATTTCATGGTTCATCATGATGGATCTACTCCACTTGCCTCCCTGGCTAAAGGTAACCAAAAAATCCCATGACTTGGTCTCCCCTGAAAGGTATAACTCCTTAAAATTCCTATGAAAATGATGCGCCACTTTCTTTTCTGTTCGCGATGATTAGTTATTTTTGTTTTTGGTAAACTTTGGGGCATCCATCAAACCTATCCCAATGCTGGTTAACAACTGAATTTTAATAATTGCGTGAAGACGGTTGGCGCCATCCGAGATGATGGCTGTTGGCCTTGTTAGCGAATCAATTTGTTAACAAGCTGTAACAGCTAACAGAACTACAAATACTTTCTTTATACTCCAATGGTCTAAATAGCCAAGTGAATGATAGCCCTTCTTTTTAATGAATTCATGTTGCCAACAAATTAGTAATGACTTGTGGGAAAGTAACTCTTTTTTTTAAGATCCTTTCTCAATCGTGTATGTATTCTATTAATATTCAACGATACATGTCCATTTGATTTAGTATTTCCTCTATCCCTACTCCAAAAAAACAAAATCGGAAAGTGTATATCCCAAATCCGGAAACATGAAACATGTACGTGAGAAAATCAAAGTTGCGGCATTGATGCTTTGAAACATATTCGAATCCTAGTATGGATTTTTCCATGTTCGATTGTCTGTACAAATAGGCACTTAAGTTCGCTTCTAGATGTTTTAGTGGGATTTTATAGCATCTGACGTGACGGTGCCGGGTGCCCGGTGCCGAGCCGTTGACAATCTCAGTTTGACGTAAATCCACTGCTGCGGAGTATCTTCGGGGATGAGATGGTATCATCCGTCTCCCAGACAGATTCGGATGATTTATGCACTGGGGATATTTCGTTTTTGTATTTCAACTCTAAATTGCGTGATTGACAGGCCTAAGTGGTTGACAGTTGTCTGACAAGTCGGCCCAATTGCACTACTATAGCCCTTGTAACATTAACTAAGAAACGATTTTTCCGTAACGCTTGACAAATTCCCGTGCCACATGCTCCCAAGATTGATATTTTCAAATTAGAATATTGAAATGAACAAGCTACAAATTTAAATGAATTTTAAGATTAGATGAGAGACTATTATACTTTTGTTGGATATATTAGATATTTTATAAAGTTCCAAACAAAGTTATAGGTCATGAGTTGAAGTTTCTTTACCTTTCTTATTTTCTGTAGTTTTTTAAAGAAATCCATAATATAAAACCTTCTCTTAAGAACCTTTAAAAATAACTAAACTCTATGATTTGTAGGGACTATAATAATTTTTGCGATAAAACCCTAATACTAAATATAGAAACAAACCCAAAAAAAAAACTCACAAAATTATCAACTTTTTTTTTGAAAAATATATACAAGATTCGTCATCTTTTGAGGTTTTTGTCGATAAGATTCCGATTTGTAAAATGTTCTTTATGTGTAGGCTCAGCCCGCTTGCATTTATTCGCCAGAATATTTCTCACGTAACTCATTCTGTACTTGTCCCCGATATGTGTAGCAACACATAATAGGCTTTTGGGGGAAAAAAACAAAAAAATAAAGAATGAAAAACAACGGCCAGTCAGTCCAGTCGATTGCAGTCGGACGGGAGGCCTAAGTGCCCGCGCGAGAAGTGTCGTCATGGCCAGTTGATGGAACAAAGTTACTAAACACATCGGAGTACATGTGTCCGCACATGTACGTACACATGTCGGGCATCAGCTCCTCCGCTCTCTATCCGCGCACACTCTCTCCGGGTTGGGCGCTGCGACATAGCCGTAGTGCCGGGGTGGACGCGGAGGGCACAAAAACAGCAAAAACGAACTGAAACGATGCAGGCGCATGTAGTTTTATGAGACTTACATTTATATTGTGCACTAATAAAATTAATGGATTTATTCAATTCGAGCTTGACTGTGCTGTGCTGGTGGCAAACATTCGTGACAAGGCTCTGGGAACAGAGAAACAGAGACTGACATGTCAGCCAGTCGGTTGACCAGTCAGCCGTCCATCGAGCCATCCAGCTATCCAGTCGGCCGCCAGCAGTTCCACTTGAGGTGGCTCAAACCCCTGGAACAGTAATGGCCCGGGGTTGCTGCAGTTAACTGATCTAATCTGACCCTGATTTGTAGCGGAATTACAGAAAGTTATTTGTTTTCCTAAATTATGAAAATGCTCTGCATATGTCTCCATAATTAATCACAACTAAGCTCTGTGCAGAAAAAGCTGTGCATTCTTTGATTGTCTCTGACGGAATCTTCCCACTGACATGCAGGAAATACAACAAATTGTGGCAAAAACCAAGAAAGTTTCGGGTATAGGTGATGTTTTGATACTCTACTGATTACCTTGCATTTTATTAATGATATTATAAGCAAAAATCTGAATAAAAGTGAAAAAAATACACCCTGGATGATATAAACATATACATTCATGAAGTTCTTAAAACTAAATACAAAATTAGAAAACTCTGAAATGGATTGCACCCGCATGTGGGTACTACCTTTATGCCCAGTACCAACCGGTTTGGGTGGAACTGCACTCACCTTCTCTGGCTTCTTCTTGGCTGGCGGCGATATTATTTTAGCCTCTTCTTCGGATGCCATCCGGTTGAACTTTCTCGTGGCCTCCTTAACACTGATGATGGCATTCTCCGGTGTGTCGGTCTCGGGTGTGGTGCCTTCCGACTTCTCTCCGGCGGAGCTGCTGTCCGTTGAGGCACCCGAGGAGAAGGAGAACCGTGGTATGTTCTCCTTATTGGCTGTCTCGTCCACGGAATTCGATCGAGAGGCGCTAGTGGGTGGCGGTCTGGTGGACTCCTCCGGCTCTGGTTGCTTCTCAAGTCGTTTGGGATCGATGCGCTGAATAGCTGCAGCAAACTCTTGGACACAGTCCTTGTAGTTCTCCTGGTGCTCCTCGCTCACTGTGAGTCCAGTGACGGGAGCAGCTGCCATGGGAGAGGTGACCATGGGCGGTGGCTTGTAGGGAGGTGGCTGCCTGAGAGGGGAGGCCGAGAAGCTGGCCTCCAGGTTCAGGGACGCCCCGCCAGGACTTGATGGCTCTGCGGAATTCGCTGCTGCGGCCACAGCCCGCTCCACTGCGTCCTCGGTGGGACATTCGTTCACATATTTCTTTCGGAGTATCAGAAACTTCTGGCCGTTTTCGTTTTTGATCGTGGAGAGCAGCGTCACATAGGTCTTAAACCGCTTGCGAGCCTCATCTGGGAAATGGACACAAAACCGCACATTAAGGGTCAACTTTATTGGCTAATCGCATTCAACAGGTTCTTTAACTCCAAGACAAATAATAATATGACTCACTTTGCGTTTGCGGATGCGTGAGAAATTTCTTGAAGTGCTTCACTAGAGCATGATTTGTGACTTTGCAGTCATTCGCCAGCATGTAATTTCGTATCTCGGCGATGGACAACTCTTTTGGCAGTTCCATGGCACTGTTTACCGCACTTTAACTAACTTTTAAACGCGAAAATTAAAAAAACACAACAATCCCAAACACAAACAAAAACACTCTACCAGGGAATCACGTTCTCAGCTGTTTTCAGCCCTGGTGGCTGGCGGAAAAAAGCTGAATGTTTTGGCAGGCTGACTCAGCTCTGGTTGCTATACATTTCGCTGGCTAATCAAAATCGGTGGTTGAGAGGGTTTTTGATTTATATTTTTAAATATTTATAATAGTTTTATATTATATTAATACAATATTATTTTAATATAATAATATATACTTTAAGTCTGTATCTATTTTTTTTAAATTTGTTCTAATTATTGCGAAAATAAAAGGTGATAAAGTCAAACACTTTGAACCTTCAACAGTCTTTCTTTATTTGAAATATATTAATTATTTAAAGAAAAGGTTAAATCTTATTTAGTTTTTGTTACATGCTTGTGGTAAATTTAAAGTTTTCCTTGTGAGAAAATTTAAATCAAAGACTTGTAATCCAATAGCATGTTAACTTTCAAGGAAAATTGGAAAATGATTTGCATAAGATTCTCTAGAACTACCATCCGTTTTCTGTTCCTGAAGCTTCATTATGCAAAAGTAATATTTAAAACAGGCCCGAATTAATTCCTGAGACACTGCCACATGGAAATGCAGGAGAAAGGAGGCAGAAGGCGGGCCGGAGGGAGGCAACCCACTTCTTTGGCGGAGAGCTCACTTTGGCAGCAAGTGTGGCAGCTTAAAAGGAGTATCTGGGCCAGGGCAGGGTGTGAGTGGATTTCCTTCCCAATTGGCCAAATGGCATCGAATGAGTCTATCTGTTATGTGTGTGTGGCAATTTGTTGAATCGACGTCATTTATCATCCGCACGGAGAGATTCTATCTGGCATCCGAGAGGAAGCCACAGCAGCCACTGCTCACAATGCTCGATGACAGTGACAATGGCGCATCTGGATACACAGATTGGGATTGTATCTTTCACTTGCATTTCAAGATGCAAATGTCAAGATGTGTTGTAGTCTGCAAGCCCATTCCCCCCAAAGGGGAATTCTTCAATGGTGCCACAGATGCGTCCTTACATTTTTATATAAAAAGGACCTTTTATCTTATAAAATGCCTGATTTAATTGCCAGTTGAAAGTTAAAAGTTCACTTATGAAGTAGGCTGTGAAACAAAAATATTTTTCGGAATTTTAAAGGCCAGCAACAGTAAGTATTTTCCCAAATCAGTTCCACAGAAGCTGTGTAGGAAAGAACACAGCTATTAAAATAACTTTTTTTATTAATTTTTTTGTTGAACTGTTTTTTGTTGAACTGTTTTTTATTTTATATTTTTAATACATTATTTACCTCATAAATGATTTATGATTAAGGCTTGATTAAAGAGAATTTTATTCATGGTTCATTGTTTCAATTTCTCCTCCATCGCAACATCGTTTCTGTTTTATTTTTTGCTATTATCTAACTTTTTTAACAAAACTTACTTTATGATTTAACCGATTTTAATTTTCTGATTAATTATAATTCGTGATTTTTACTCCCGAAATCAAATCTTTCGGATTTCTTGTTTTTCTTTCAATTATTTAAATAATTAATTTAGCCTAAGGTTCTACCTCGTTTTGGCTTATTGGCTTTCTTCTACTATTTAACTATTAATCAATGTAATTTTTGTTTCTCGTCCATTTAATCAAATCTTCCTTATTTTATTATTTCATTTATTTATAAAGACTTAGCTTCTTGTCCCTGCGCCTCGTCGACATCGTTTCAATTTTCGTTTCTTATTTTTTGCTATTATATAACTTTTTAACAAAACTTACTTTTTGATTAAACCGATTTTTATTTTCTGATTTAGCCTAAGGTTCTATCTTAGGCTTCTTGTCTTTTTCCTACTATTTGACTATTAATCAATGTAACTAACTATTTGATTTGAATGATTTTTAATTTCTTATCGATTATCATTCTTAGTTTCTTTTGTTTCTGATTTTTTTTTAGTATTGAATATTTATTTTATCCCATTTAATTACCTTTTCTAATTTATCGGAATTATCTGAGATATCTGAATTAACTTGAAGCAACGACTATTTCCCCTGGGAAATGGGAAACATTCCAGTCGCAGAGTAAGCGAGAAATTGCTCGTTTGTGCGATCAGAGCTATGTTTGGCATTTGCAGCCGGATTATGCAATTGTCACCGATTGCGTTGCAAAGTGGCGCCTGATAAGCGTCGCAAATTAAATTATATGCCGTATGAAGTGCGAGCACCAAAGCCTGTTACTTGGCCAGAGGCTGAGCCACAAGTTGGGGCTCTGCAATGCCACAATTCTTCAGCACGACACCCGGCGATGCTGCAACAGCCATCCCGAGACAGCCACTTTTTTGAGAGATCTCTCCACCTCGGGCCGGAGTTGGCATTGGTGCGGGCGAGGATTGGCAGCAGCCATCTTGTAGCTTGGATGCCAGTCGCCTCCCCCCCTGGTCCGACCATGGGCCCACTTGTTGTACACCGGTTGGCGTCAGTGTCGACTGTTGCAGACAGCGATCGACGGCGAACGATCGTCGATAGTTGCGACTTGGAACGTTTGTCTTGTCATGGGATGAGTCTGGGATGGGGGCTGGAATGGTTCGGACTAGGATGGATGCTGCTCCTGCTCCTACTGATGCTGCTGCTATAGCATAATTGGCAATTGGGGAATGGGAAATGGGGAAATGGCCGGGGGAATGGGACTCGGAATGGGCATGAGAATGGCATTGGGCTCACTCGCTTTTATGACTTTTTCTTTTGCCAACTGGCAGCTCCACTTGAAAAATGATTGGAAAGACATTTTCAGGGGTTTTAGATGAAGAAGGAAAATTTTGAACTTAGCCTGAAACAATAAAGAGACATGTCTTTAATTTATATAAGGGGTAAGTTAGTTAATAATCATTTTCTATTCGATTAAGTTTCCTTCAAATTCCGCCAAGTGTGCCAAACTAATGCCTCCTGTCTATCTGGCCCAGTCACATCGAAGTCGTGGCCGGATTGAGTCTGTTTTTGTGTTTCGGCTCAGCCAAGATTCCCCTCATTTCCTAACCTGCGATTTTATTTATTTCTCCTGATTCCCTCGGTTTCCTCCTGACCCCTGGAGAGTGGCGCCTAAAATTACACGAGACTTTCGAACTGGGCGGCTGTCAGTGCGGATTGCTCATCGGGATCGGATCGGAGATTTATTGTGACCGGGAAATGTCGGCTTGTCGGAGAAGTCAAATAAATGGCAGAGACAGAGAGAGTGTGGCGACTTGTGGCTGACATAAGCCTGAAACCCATAGCAGATGTCCGCGTTTCCACAAGTGCGGGCTCAATCCGGCTGTCTTTCTGGCGAATCCTGGGCAGCCTTTTAAGTACTCTGACAGTCATTATTGAACCATTACCAAATGAGCATTGCGCATTATAAATGAGCACATAAAACATAAACGTTGTCGCCGAGCCCGAGAGCCGATTACTGCAATTTAACACCCCCACTCTGATGTCCTTGTTTCCTCCTCAACTTCATCCTCCTCCCTTCATCCATATCCTTCCTGCCCAGATCGTCATATGTTGGTATATTTCCGGCGAAGAGCGACGGGCTCGGGAATTTGCTCATATGCTAAAGATTCTGAGTGGTTTGGTGGTTCGGCCATGGTGGTGCTGGGAACTGCGGTCAAATGCTTTAACTCGCACCGGGATTTCAGGATTTCGTCCGATTTGCTCCCTTGGCTAAGCCCCGACTCCCAAGTGGGATTATGTCACTTTCCCGGTGACATTTGCATTTTGATTGACAAACTCATTTACAGTGTGCAGTTCGATTGCCGCCCCGGTCCTTCATCCTGCGTCCTGGTCCCTTTGTCCTTGCCCGTCGTCGAGTGTGTTTGCTGAATGCTTAGAGATTTTCAATTACACTTATTTCCAGTAGCCTGAAACGGTATTTAAATGCTTTGATTTCAATTATTTGCCATTGTTTTTAGGGGTGAAGAGTTTATTAAATTTAAGCCCTTAATAAGAATTAACTGGCCTATTAAATCGAAGAGGCTTATGGGTTTTACGAAAAATCGGTAACAATAATAGAGGTATCTTATAAAAGAGATTTAAAGTTTAAATTTTAAACACGTATGATGACACGTAAAAATGATAAATAAAAATGAAAAATAATCTCTATTTTGAGAATAGTTTTCGTGATCATGTCTTCGGAACTTTGAGTCGGAATAACGTAAGGGATACCTTCCCGATCGAAGATAATTAAAATTAGCGCATGTGATTGAATTCCTTAACATTAATTCCGTTTTTAAATCGGCAGAAAATTAAATAAGATATTCACACATAAAATCACACAACACAAAGCATCAATCAAAGGTTTTTCAATTTTTCGATGGGAAAATGCGTATAGGTAAGGACTTACCTATTAGGTAAGTCGCCTAGAACTCCGAGTAGTTTCATTTTTCATCAAAAGCTGGAAACAAAAGTTCGGATCCATTTTTGGCAATTTTTAAGGGGTTTCATCATAATTTTGGCCAAAAATTTGAACAAATTTTGATTGTTTGATTTTTCCAATCTTTTAACGCAGTTCGAGGGGGGAAAGGGCTCTGATTCCTTAATGGTATTCTGTTTTTCGATCGGTTGCAATCGGTTGCAATAGGATATTCGCTTAAAAAATGTGTTAAAAAGTTAAATTTTGACACAAAAATAAAATTTTAAAGTGGCATTCAAAGATTTTAATTTTTTCAATGAAAAAATGCTTACTACTCAGTCAATATTTGGCCGATCCATAAATGATATACCGTCCCGATTTTGGAGTTCAGAGAACAATCATTTTCCATCAAAACCTAGCAACGAAAATGTTGACCATTTTTTTCAAATTTTTTAAGGGGTTAATCATGGTTTTGATCAAAAATTGATTCAAGTTTTTTTCGTTTGATTTTTCAAGTCTCTTGATACAGATTGAAAAAGAACGGAGTTCTGATTCGATATTGGTATTCTGTTTTTGAATCGGTTGGGAATTAGTAAACAAATTCGCTAAATAGTTTATAGAAAGCATTAAATTTTGGTTTATTAAAAAAAAAATCTAAAAAACCTTATTCGCAGTATTCATCTTTTTTGATAGAAAAATTTATTTAACTTGGCTAGTACTCATAATGGCTCATGAACGCATGGATCATAATGTTTTACCTTACCACTTTTAAAACTCTATGATTAGAGCAAAAATTTCAGGAATAAGTCAAAAATAAGCTCAATATTAACAATATACATTATAATTTTTAGATTTTTATTTACATATAGATAGATAATAGATAATTTTTATTTAGATTGCAAATCTTAAATCTAAAATAAAAGATCTATAAGGCAAGTACCGAATAATGAGTAGAACTCAATTACGAGTGTGGTACGAGTTCCGATATATTCATGTGACAATTTTTAATGTTTTGTGACAACCATTAAAGTCGAGCCCGCTGAAAATGACAACAATAAAAGCAGAAACAAAAACTGCGTGGCATCGGAAAAAAAGGGAAAGGTTCCATGGCTGGGCTATGCGTAGCATATCCTGACCCTTCATTCTGTCCCGGATCTCCGAAACCCGGTCCTGTGCAACCCCTCCTCCCAGAAAACAGCTCGACAGGCGTCAGCGGCGAGTGTTGTGACAGTTTTGCCGGCGAATAATAAAAATAAAAATATATTTCATTTTCCATGGGTTCTCTGGTCTGGGTCTGGTCTGGGCTGGGCCGGGGGTTCTTCTGGAATCATTGCCATTTTCTGGCTATTTTGAAATTGATATATGCATAAACCGCAGTGACAGATGTTGCAATTAAAACGGCATAAAACGCTCGAGGAGGGAGAGTGGTGCGGAATGGAAAAAAAGGGATCTCGCCAACCACCACCATTCGAGTTGTATCCACGATATATATACTATATCGAGTGGCGTGAAAAGTGCGCGCTGTCATCCTGACGGTCCGACAGCTCAATTGTCAAAATAGGTTTTAAGTGCCGGCGAGCGATTTGTAAGCGAAGTGCACTTCTTCTTGACACCATTGGTGTGGCTGTGGCAATGCCAATTCCAAAAATTCCACTACCAATATCAATTCCTATCCCAATTCCGGGCTTGAGTCTCGGTTCTCGGGCTTATCGGGGCTCTCAGGGCTCTCAGGGCTCAGAGGGTGGTCAATGTTGGCGGCCGCAAATGGAAACGCCCCATGTGGTTGCCACTCGTCGTCTGGCGTGTACCATCATGCTGACCCATTGATTGATTGCATTTGGCCCGCCACAGCCACATCTATAGCTATATGGGTATAGCAATAGCTACTGCCACGCCCCCCACAGCCTCTAGTCCGGCTGATGCTGATGCTGCTCCTGATGCTGATGCTGATGCTGATGCCCAGCGATTGCAAAAGCGCCACTCGTAAAACGCGCAACACAGCAAATATTGTACTTAACACCCGGAGGGGCACTTGCCCCGGACTCGGTTGATGCACTCTTCAAAAATTAGTGTATAAATCAGTGGGAAATAAATCAAGTATAGGTTCTAGAGAAGGTATAGCTTCTGGGGAAAGGTTATTGTATTTTAATATTTTTTTAAATATATTTAATTTTAGGATTCTTTAAGCTTTTCATTTGGAAATCCATAGACTTCAATAGGGACATGGTTTATAGACATGGTTAAATTTTTTTTTGTATAAATTTGTTATAAATATTTTTTGGCAAGTGTTTTTGGGTTGTGCTGCTGCTGGGTTTCGCCTTTGGCCTCGCCATGACTTGGCTTCCCTTGGAATTAATTCACGTTTGCGCTTGGCAGGGGCAACAGCTTTGGTCATTTGTTGCTTTTGAGCTAACACGTTGCTCTCATTTCCCCGCCGATGCTCAGCCGCGGTGGGTGGTGCCACCACCTCATCCTACTTCCGACCCACACCACACTTTCCCAGTCGTCCATCCCATGGCACGGCATCTCATTCCACAGCCATTGTACCACCACCACGTGGATCGTTCTTCTTTTTTGTTTCCCCCAGCCCACTTCCGTGCATATATCTTGTGCTGTGAGAGGTGAGGACACGCCCAGACCTTATGGCGCAATTCCATCGTGTAAGTCGCACTTTTTCGGTTTTATAGGTTAATTTGCTTTTATGACATTATCATAAAAATAAACCAAAACAAAAACGACAGGAAAAAATACAATAAACAAGCTTGCCAACACACGAGAGCGCGTTCGCGACACCCGCAAAAAACATTTGAGGTTTACCTCATCGTGTGGCATACACAGTGGACTCTCGGCGAGGACCATTTCCGGGATCCGGAATGCGTGTCCTGGGCATGCTGCGCATTAGTGCATTTCCCAGGGACTCCTGCGTCCTGCTGCCAGAATCGTAAAAAAAGGAGATCATAAAGCGGAAGTCCAAATATGTTAGTGGGCATTAATAGAGAAACTTTTTTCCCAAAAACTTTTCACAGCCAACGGCAAAGGGAGCACTTTTATGTGTCAATTGGTAATCGTTCTGGCTTTTTCACCCACAAAGCATGAAACCTTTTTAAAGCGTAGTAAATTTTAGACTCTAAACTTAAGAGCATAAAATGAAAGCCAACAAAAGTCTAAAAGAACTTAATCCCATCCCTCAAGTTCATCTATGTGGCAGCCCATTTCTGTTTAATTAAAATATTCATAAAAAATATCACGCATCATTAGAATACCTTGCAGTTATAGTTTTTTCCTTTTGGCTGTCTATTGCAATTAGAATTTAATTAGATTTTAATTTGTGAGCTATTTGATATGAAAAATATGCAAAAATATATGATGATCAGCAGCAGCAGCTGGGCGCATGAACTACTTGGAAAGTTTTCAAATTGTTAAACTTTTGATTTCGACACTGTTCTATATTTAGGATTATATTCAAAAAGTAAGGCTATTGTTAAATGAGAAATAATTTATTTAAAGAAAAGAAGAGGCCAAAAATAATATTTTTCCCCTCATAGAACTCTAAGCAATAATATTTGTCTAAAAATAAATTTGAAACATGTTAGTGGTAAGTGCAACTGGTATCGCCTGATATTTAATACCGCCCTGACCAGATCCGGCAAGATTAATTACGTAGGATCGATAATGGGAGTTAACTTTCGCGCAATTCAGCGATAATGGTAATGGCGGGCGATAAATACGGCCAAGTGGCAAAGAATTCGTTGATCGGTGATTAACGCTTTTGTGTCACCACTTAAGGAAGAACCACCAGCCCAGACACCACCAGAGCCTTGGCAGCAACCTTGTTGGCATTTTTAGTGATCGTGTGGCTGCAAGAGCTATCCGCTGCACACACAGATACCCAAAAAAGAAGAACAATCCCAGAACCGAGAAGTCAGTCGAGTTCGAGTTGGAGTTCTCGAAAGGTAAACAAACAAATGACTAGCCAAACAAAACAAATGGGCGTTGCCCCAGAGCCGTTGGGTTGAGTGGAAATCGAGAATGGTATTATATTCGTGCGCTTATTGTATCTCGTATCTGGTAGTTCCATTTCATTTTGGCTTTCTTTTGTTTGGCGGCCTCGCACCTGTCCATTAAACGCATACGGCCGAAGGCAGCCAAGCGTTCTGATTGGCGGTTCTCTGGCTCTGACTGGAAGCGCGTACTGCGAGATACAGTATCTTCCCCTCACGGTGGGAATTGTGTGTTGCTCTGAGAGCGATGCCACCACCACCACCTCAGTTGGCTGGGAGAGGGCGTTGCTGTTTTCGCTTCCAGTCCAGTCCACCCAAGGCGAGCGGCATTCTTGGCCCGAAACGGAGACGACAACGACAACGAAGTATCTTTTATGGGAAGTATCTTTGTCTCATTCTGGCAGCAACTGCAGCGGAATGCGATGCAGCAACAACAGCAACACTAGCAACATGAGCAACAGCAACGGCATTCGTTTGGACCTCGCAACCAGTTCGTGTTCGAACGTACTATAAGGTGCACACATTTCTGTGGAGCGTGTGTTTCGCCTTTTTCGAATCTGCCGTCGATACTTTTTCGTGTTGCGAGTGTTGCAACTTGCGCGAGTCTTGCCGTTGCCGCCGCCGCGTTTTTTACGTTTTTGTGTTGGCCAAGAAACAAGAAGAAAAAAAAAACAGCCATAACAAGGCACAAGAGTTGACCCTTTGTTTACGCTTTTGGCTTGGTGACAGATACTCCCTGCAATCCTTGAGATACTTTCCCCGTTTTTGGCCTAATGCCGAGTCGGGCTTATCGGCCGGTTGCTGTGTTGCTTGCTGTGTTGCCGGTGACTGTGAACATACGTAATCGAAGCTGAGCTGTTTACCAAATAAGCACTTCAGTTGACATTTAATGTAGGAGCTATATATCCTTCTTCCAAGGCGAGAGTGTGTGCGAGAGAGAGAGTGAGTGTGTGAGAGGGAGAAAGCACGAGAGAGAAAGAGTGATTTTGGATCTAGAGACATATCCTGTGGGATATGGCCGCCTATACGCAATTTGGATACGGAGGCTTCCCGTCGGCCTCTCAGGTGGGTTTCTTTATATATTTTAAATGTATATACATATTTTATTTAGTTTTATGAGAAGATATATAGGATAATAAAGAGTATTATAATCCGATATAAAGCATAGTTATAAATCGTTATTATCGTAAGTACTTATCTGGTTAAAAGATCCTTTTTCTTAGACTATTATTTTCTAAAGAATTTTACCTCAGCCCTCTCAAAACTTATATCATGAAATTCAAAAAAATAAATTTGGAAAAATATTATTGGAAGTAACTAACGAAATTTAATAATAATATTTAGAGTAAAGAAAAAGTATAGTAGGTAACTGATTTAAAAAAAATTATCTTTTTATAAAATCTAAACCTTTCTGAATCTTTCTTGCCTTACAAAAAATGATCAGTTGAACTTCGATCTCTTCTGCCCAAACCTGTCCAAACAATCCCTTTTTAGCCTTTGATTTTGGCGCTTTTTAAGTTTCCAACTTTTTACCAAAACGTTGATATTTATGATATTTAATGGGTGAGGAAAAAAGCTTTAATAAATTGTTCAGTTAACAAAAAACTCTCAGAGGGTCCAGGAGTACTTCATGATTTTTTTTGCAACCCGTCAATAAACTCATATATCTTAGGGCAGGTGCAAGGCCTACAAACAAAAGACTTCTAAATAGAAATCAAATGATGGGTTTGGTCTGCAGTTTATTTTAAACGCAACTATATTTAAGCCTAACCCGCTAAACTTGAATTTCCCAGGCTATAATTGCTTGGCATCCACCGAGATTCCTTGAGAAACGCGACGCCTTTTCCCATTTCGGACCACACGAGTCCAATTAAGTAAAATCGAAAAAAAGAGAAAACTTAAAGCAAAAAAAGTAAAAAGTAAAGAAGCAAGATCCGAAAAGCAAAAAGTCCAAGTCCAGCAATCAAAAGGAGAAGGTTACGGCAATGGGAGGTGCCGATGGAAGCACGCTCAGGTGAAACTGTTGAAAAGTCAATAAAATTCAATTGCGACGATCATAAATCATAAAATTCATAACCGTAAAGTGACAGCTGAGGGCAGGCCCTGGGAATGCGTTTGGTGGCTACGTGAGCTGCATCTCGGCGATGGCTCTCCGATCGGAGATCCCAGATATGTAGTCTTTCCATCCAGCGGAGGTCTCCTCCTCAGCTCACAGCCACGATCGATTGTGTCGGACCAATGACTTTGGGGGCCACACTGATCTACTTTACATTGTGTGTGCCGTGCCGGTGCAGTGGCGGAGCAAGCCGGAGTCCAGGTTGCAGACTCTTCTCTTCACCAAGTGGCGCTTGCAGTCTTACGCTATCAACTTGGTCATCTGCCCGAAAGGGGAGGGGGCGGAGATGCGGCGGCGGAGGAGGATGCGGGAGGATGGCTGGTGGGATCCAGGAGCCTCTGAGATACAAGTTGCGATTAGATCGCTGCGTTTGCGATTCACAGAAATTTCTCGGACTGGGACTGGAGACTGAGGACTTTGACTTGGACTGAGACTGAGACTGGGACTGGTACTGGGATTCTGGAATTGGTATTGGTGAGATGCTGCAAAAGCAAAAGCACACATGCCCGGCAGATCTTATCTGGCCACTGTCGCCTGCCAGTCGTCGTCGTCTGCAACTGCAACTGCCATTGCAACTGCAACTGCTATTGCAGCAGCACCAGCAACAGTCAAAGCAAACGTGTCCAATTCACATGACCATGGCCCAGTGGACTCCACTGGCGCTTCCTCGCATCTCCAGCGGAAAGCGGAGTCGTCCCTGGTCCTGGTCTCATGAATAATTCAGAAGCCAGATTCCTGGGCGCAGGCGCATAGAGCTCCCTATATGGTGTCGCCTATCAGATCAGTTGTCATAATTCTCATATTCTTCGCCAGCGAAAGAGAGACGGAGAAGGCCAGTCTGGGAACGGAGAATTGAAGAAGGCTCCTCCAACATTCCCATACCCAATCTGAAATGTATTTACTTTTTTTTTTTTACTAATTAAAATCACGCGGCACAAAAAAACAAAAACATAAAAAAACGCCTGAATCATTCATTCATTTGTAAAATTTTGATAAATGGTTTTGGCCTTTTCGTCTTTCCATGAATGTCTCCCTATATAGTATGGCCTCGAATCTCTACTACTTATAAATTTGTAGCATGACTCAATATTTTCCTTTATTAATTATGTGGCCTTCTACTGGTTTACTCACCTGTATTGTAGATTCTAAACATTCCCGAAACTGTCTGAAAATCTGAAATCGATCGCATCCGATAATTATAAAATAATATGCATGTGCAGCGATTTCGGGCGAATCAAAAAGGGTTTCTCCTCCTTCTGGAGGTTCTATTGTCAGATTATGTTAATGGCGCGGAATAATTATGCCTTTTTGGCGGGACGTTTGGGCATTTAATTTTGCCCAGAATTTTGCGCCACAGAAGCCGTGTAAGCCGGGCTCAAAATTGTTGCCAAGATATGACCTTTGGGGGCTTTGGTATTTCGATCAATTTGTTGGCTGTCCATCAGGATTCGAGGTGCCTCAGTTTACTCGCTGCCAAAGCTGTCCAAGCTGTCCAGGTTCCTGGTTGCAGGCATTCAACTTAATTATAGGTCGAAAAGAAATTGAAGGCATCCCAGCAAAAGTTTGCTCGTTTCACAGATTGCCCGGGGTAATTTTCAGAAGCCTTCGCCAGCATGTTCCCCGACTCCATCTCCGCCGATATACATCTTTGATGGGTCTCTGGCGTAGTCCCTGGCGGAGCCGCAGTCTGGGGCAGCCGACCTATAGGCGTTGGCTGCCACACCCTCATTGATTTCTGGCATTTTTAATGTCCCAGCCAACCAGTCTTGGGCTTGGCTTGGCGCATTTTGCATATTAATTGCCAGGTGACTGGCGCATGCCATAGGCAAAGCTGAGGAAGGAGGCTCCGTCCAAAAATAAGATGGAGGCCATCAAGTTGGATACCCTCCAACTCCAAGCACTTGAAATCGATTTGCTGGGTAATTGATGTGGCCGCCATTGCAGAGTCGAGCCGAGCCAAGCCGAGCAGGAGCGGCGGAATCCAATCCAGATTAAGGGAACCTAATCGCCGCAGGATTATTATGAATCCCATACAGCTTCTGTGCTCCTCGGCCGGCGGCACAGATTGTGTGTTAACACCATATTCGCTTACATGTTATCGATGCATCTTGTAATGGGCCTTCTGTCGATTTTTCGAATTAAATTCGCAATTATCCAGTGGTTCTCCTGGCGGATTTGGTGTCTTCAGAAGGCCGATATGGGCTGGGCAAACAACATGGCCGGACATCAATATTTATGAAGCCTCCAGTAGTCGTCCTCCGGACTTGTGGTCCGAAGCTGTGGAAAATTAGCCATTATGTGTGTGTACGTGCGTTTCCTGTCGAGTTGGTGATGGTGATGGTGGAGGTGCATCTGCTTTCAGACAGGTTTTCGCATCTTCCTGCTAAAGTTGACAACTAGTTTATCTCCAGAGTTTTCATAAAATCTGGATTATATTATGGGTTTCTTATTTCTCATTTTTCTTACTACTGTTGCGATAGAATTAAGGTTAAAGAGTGAACATACTTCGAAGATCCTCATCACCTGCTTTTGATAAAAACTACTCAAAAGCCTCTATTACCAATTTAATTTGAGCTCCATTTCCCATCAAATTACTTTCAGATAAACACTATCAGTTTTTGTTTGAAAATGAAATATATTTTCGCTCCAAATCTCTTTCCACTTCAGGCTTCCTGGAAGTCAAAGTGTGGACTATTTATCGCGTCTTCATATCTCTTATAAGGTGTTCGAAATGACCCTTCTGGAGTTTGAAGTTGAGGGAAAAATGCACCTCGGTCTTTGCTGTTGAAATAAAAATTTAAAATGGTCCCTTGATTAACATGCATTAGTTATGTAAACCAGTGGCAATACGTGTTTATATATCACTTAAGATCAGGGCTTGAAAGTATTTTTTAAGTACCCTAACAGAGAAAAGAATTCAAGTGGTTTGATTATCTCAATATAAGTTTATTGTATAATTTATGAACAATTGAAGATATCTTAGTTATTCTTACTTATTACATTATGTATTTATTAAAAATAAGAATTAAAGAATCACACAAGTAACATGTAACATTTTTTCTATCTAATTAAAATGGACTACCAAAGTCATTTCTTTCGATCTCTTACCATCTTAATTTAATCATAAAATGACGGCAAAGAGACGGCAAAGAGAAATTTGTGTTTCAATTTGCAATCCAAAGAAAAAAGGAAACCTTTTCTGACCCTTTCCTTGTTCCGATCTTACAGCTCCTGCCCCCGAACGCCCAGCCGACGGAGGACACTTCCGCGAACGTGAACGACGGCTCGCTGGTGATGACAAACGCCCCGGCGATGAGCCCCGCGGGTGGTGCGGACTGTCAGTCCGCCAGCCAAGCGGCCGCTGGAGGAGGAGGAGGCGGCGGCGGCAGCAGAGGCGATGGCTCCTCGGGGGCCCTCAGTCCAAATGCGCTTTCCCAGAACTCAAATACTGGGGCAGTGGCCGCGGGGGTGGTGGCGGGTGGAGCTGGAGGATCCTCGACCGGAGCCGTGACCGTGCCTGGAGCTGATCTGGCCACCGGTGGCTCCCTGGACGGCAGTGGTGTGGGCACAACACCCTCGGCCGGCGGCGGCTCCTGCTGCGAGAACGGGCGACCCATTATGACCGACCCTGTGTCCGGGCAGACTGTCTGCTCCTGCCAGTATGACTCCGCCCGCCTCGCCCTCTCCAGCTACTCGCGCCTGCCGGCTGCCAGTGTAGGGGTCTATGGTACGCCCTACCCCTCCACCGACCAGAATCCCTACCAGAGCATTGGAGTGGACAGTTCCGCCTTCTATTCGCCACTGGTAAGTGTCATACCCAATCAAGGAAAAATACTTTTAAACAATTAGTTTATATTAAAGTTCGAAGAGTTGTAAGCATAAAAAAGAATATTCAAAACAAAACAAAAAATTATAGAAATAATAAAAATAAAATTCAAACATAAAATAAATAAGCCATTATACAAAAAAAAACAAAATAATAGTTCAATGGTATGGTGGCACGGAAGACACGAACTGATAAAAATAAATTTTAGATAAAAAAAATTTTTTTATTTAATAAAAAAAAAAAAAAGGTGCAAAAGAAGGATAGCTTATGTTCTTTAATTGAATTATTATAATTAAAATAAGTAACCAATAAAATAAAATAAAAATAAATAAAAATCAGATCAGCAACCAAAATGTCAATATGAAGCACAAGATGCTCATGCAAACTCGTCCGCCGGAGACTGATGGCTCATAAATTGCTTGCACTGTATCAGAAGAGCAAAAATAAATTAAATAGTATTTTCCAGGACTGGTATATTGGATGACTGATAAAAAATAAAGTAAATATCAGAGAACATAAAAGGAAACCCAAGGAAACTCTAACAAAAAAATAAAGGCCAAGGAAAAACCCAACGGAATCTCGCAACCTGTGTGTTTTGACTGAACGATTGCTATTCTTCATATAATAAAACAAAAATATAAAAATTAATAAAAAATTCAAAGGAATAAAAAGTTTTAAATAAATATTTAGCTCCGCTCGGGTTTGGAGTTCAAAACGTTCTGATTGAATGAAAGACCTACAAGACCCTTATATAGTGTCCAAAGTTAGAGCTTCTATAAAGGCTTTATTACATTTTATACATTTTTTTGTTGGTCACACTGCAAAGCCTACTAAGATTGCTTTTCGATTACGTTTTTTATATATCGATGTATTAGGTATCAAAAATTTACGTATCGGCGGAGAATTCGTAAGAGGAATTTAAATTTCTTGAACACTTGATATTCATTTACGTTCGCAGAAATGCACTTATTTATAAGAGCTTGAAAGACACCTTATTAAACAAAAATATTTAAAGAGTTATATTTCTTTAAAAAGGTCAAAATTTCGTCCAGTGTTAGGGCCAAAAAGTTATCCATGAGCCATGGGCCAAGAGGGCTAAATGGATTATCTCAACGTATGACTTTAATTGTGTAGTCAGTGGCTTTTGTCCGCAGCTTAGGAGGGAGACACATCGACAACGACAACGAAACGACAACTTTGCAACAACAACAACAACAATAAAGAGAACAACACCAACAACAAAAACAAAAACAACATCGATTGCTTGTCAATGCAGTCGACTAAATCGAATTATCATTATGGCTGACTGAAGCTCAGTCAAACCTCATTTGGCTCCGTATCGGGGCTTTAGTTTCCCTTAGTCCCCATAGTACCCCCTCTTATTGGGGACCCCTTTGGGTCCCGTAGACTCTTTCTCTGTCTATCCATCTACCTAATTCATAAGACCTCTTACTCCGATGGATTCCCTGCCCTCGACGGTCGACACTCGACTGCCGGCAGCCGACTTCCATTGCGATATTTGATACTTTGCATAAAGAAAGGCAAAATCATTGGAAACAAAACATATTGCCCCATGGCCTCAATTACACTCCACTCTCTTCTGCTGCTGCCGTGTATGTGTGGGCTAATCAAGCTTATGGCCGAGTCTCAATATGTATCTGTATCTATGTAGCCGTGTATCTGTGTATCTGAGCCTGGTGTATCTGCAAAGTCTCTAAGTGGCCGCTGAAATGTACACGAGCACAGCATGACTGAAGCAAAACACACGCTGCCATTGCCTTTGGCCTGGCTTTGGCTTTGGCTTTGGCGTTGGCTTTTGCTTTTGGCCCGATTGAAAGGCAAACACAGCGCACATATCAAATTGGCAACAATATGTATAACAACAATGTGGACAGTATTTAGCCTTGGCAAATAACTTACTGTTGGAGATGAATAGGCCAAAATGAATCAACTGGAAGTGGTCCACAAAAAAGGGCAGACAAGTGTTTTCAAAGGACATAGGATAAAGGTTTTCATTAACCCAGAGAATAAATTAATTGATTTTAAATCGATTTCGAAGAGTTTAACTTCTATTCAGAAATCTTAAGAGAATTAAGAGACCCTTCCTCTGATAACTCCCTTCCTTTTAACACATTTCATAAATTGTTTATAATTTAGAGAAATCTGAAAACACTTGTCCGACTTTGTCAACAATATTTCCCCAATGTTTACGATGCCTGTAATAAGTACATTAGTTTGAATGATCTAATTAATATGAACAAAGACACAGTCTAATCAACTTGGGCGGCACTGCCCGGTTCTACTTCAAAAGAAAAACCCTCCTCGAGGAGGGTAGCCCCCCGGGAGGAAAAACAAATGGGGCGGAGACGGTCGCGGCAGCCACCAAAGTGTCATGTTAAATTGTTATTTACAACAACAGGAAATTCATTCCTCTTGGCAGCCACTTTTTTTCTGGCTTTTTGCTTCGTTTTTTTGTTGTTTTTTTAGTCGTTTCTGGCGGGGCACCTGACCGACTGTCTTCTTTATCGGGTGGCTTGCCTCACAAAGCGCATACTTTTAATTAAGAAAATATCTCAGAACGCTCGATAAGATGTCGTTGCTCAATTTCGTTGTGAGGAGGTGTTAATACGCGGGATACGGAATACGAAATATGGGAGGGAGCCTCCTCTCGGAATCAGAATCAGAATCTCATTCACACCTGACATTTTGGCCTGGGCATTGGCACGTCATTCCGATTGGTAAATAAATCAGTGCTAGGGCTTATACTATATATGCCACTTCTGTAGATCGGGATCCCGAATACCTGTTTAAACGACATTTTGATAAATATATTTGTCACTCGACAGCAGCGGCGGTAGACTGTTTACCGAGAAGCCACTCGACTCGAGGGGCGGGGTGAAAAATTAATAAACAACGGCATACATGATGTTAAGCAATTAAAAATGTTAATACCGTTTCATAAATCACAAAGACCACAAAAGCCCGGATTCGACAGGGCCAACCAGATTGGGCCGCCGCACCATTCGCCGCATTCGGCGATCTGGCCAATAGTTGTCGCTCATAAATCCGCCTGTCATTTTCCGAGGGCATAAATCGCAGCATGCCACAGCCAGGCAGAGCCACAACTACTACCACTCCAATCGAATCTCCAACCGAATCTGAATCTCGAACCGCCAAATTGAAATTAAAATTCAAAGTGTCAGCCCGAAAAGCCAGCTTTCATACTCAATACCGAGTATAATAACAATAATCGGCGCTCTGGCTTAGATAATTTTTGTCGATTTTCGGAAAGTTGTTGACTTAAATTATGTATTTTTTGTATCGATCGGTGTATCTGTCGGTAAAATATGGCCATCTTTGGCATTTGGCTTGTTTCACTGCGAAATATGCTGCCAAATTATAAATTCCATGTTAACAAAATTGTCAACTCTGGAAACTGTGGGAAAATGCTTTGTTCGCTTTTGTTTGATTTTGGCCAACAAACTTAATAACTTAATTCTCATTCAACGCTGAATTCTTAATCGTTTCAGAGCAATCCGTACGGGCTGAAGGACACTGGCGCGGGCCCGGAGATGGGTGCCTGGACATCTGCAGGACTCCAGCCCACCACGGGCTACTATTCCTACGATCCCATGTCGGCCTATGGGTAAGAATATTTTCTCTCATTTAATTCAATTAATTATTAAAGGATAAAGCTGGTAAAAAGTAGACCCTCGAATAATAATTAATTGCCCTGACCTGGCCCGGTGGCTGATGGGAAATAAATAGAAAGCCTTTTAGGCCAATTTAAATACATGAGCCTGCGTATCAAATGCAATCGCGCGCCCATAATTAATTACAAAATATTTGCGAGTACTTGAAATTGATTTGAATTTAATTGCTTGCGGCGGCTGCGTTTTCCTCCTTCTCCTCCTGCCTTGGTTCTGGAGCTTTTCCACCGATTTTCCACATTGCCTGGGGGAGGAGCTCCAGAGTGGGCTCTCAGGAGGGACAGGCGATAATAAAATTTGAATTGTTCGAAACTGTATGAGAGCGCGAAATTATTTATTTATGATTGCTGCAAAATAATAGCAGTTAATTGCACGCCACAGCGCACAGCACATACCATTCAAAAGGTTTTTTATATAAAAATACACTGTAAAATAACAAATTTCATTTAGGGATATTTAATTTAATAAAAAAGTAAAAAGAATATAGCTTTAGTACATTTTTCTCTGTGCCCATGTGCGTGATATACCAGAATAAGCTTTTTAATCATCACACATCAAATAAATATTGTATTATATGCATATTTTTTGAGCCGTGTAGGTGTACATACATTAACATTAAAAGTATGTACACACGTGGGTGCATACATAAGTGCGTAAGCACATAGAGAGAGAGTTCCACATCGGATGGGGCAGGAGGCAGGCCGAGTCCCCACCAGTTCGATTCCGAATCCGAATCAGAAACAGAATCAGGGGGAAGAGCGCCGCAAAGTGGCAGAGTGGCAAGCCGGCTGAGTGGCATGCAACGGCTGCGGCTTCCCGTTGGACGGTTCCTTATGGTTTGGGTTTTTGGACCCGGCTTGCGTGCGGAAAGCCCATGAAATCGAGCTGGCTGGCGGCATGGTAGGATTGGGGGTCTGAGGTACTGAGGGACTGGCACTGCAGCCAAGTGAATGAATGAGTGAGTGAGTTGTAAGCGATGCATGTGAGGAGTGGGCAGAAAGGGGGTTGACGGGGTGGTGAGAGGGGCCAGGAGGGAGGGAGGTGTGAGCCGCAAATGAACGCCATGTTGGCCGCCATATTGAGCGACCATACATACGCACATACTTGCCAATATATCAGTGTGTGTGCGTGTGCGTATGTATGTATGTATGTGTCACTGTAAGTGTACATTTAGACAAAAAACCAACAATAAACATTGTCATTAAAATTAATATTAACATTCTAAAATTCTATTTTTTGATAAACTGTATGTTTTTAAAATTTGATGATCTTGATCGTCCAAAAATAAAAATTTCCGGCATTCCAGTATTGCCCAAATATTTCATCCAAGCCATATTGCAGTATTCGTCCATATTGTACCTAAATAATACATTTTTTACAAACCATATAGTGGTATAGTTTCATAACAAAAAATTAAAAAAATTGATTTTTTTTAAATATGTATGTTATTTCATATTAAACTTGTAACTTTATTTTCTTAAAAAACAAACTTTTTGGGAATATTATTTGATTTAACATTTAAAAAAAGGAAGGGAATTATTGTGGGCCTGAGGTATAAAATTTTATTATTTTCTACGTAATAACTAATAACTAAGTTTATTTTCTAGGTAAAACCTAATTTAATAGAAAATCAATCATAAAATACACATATCTTGTATGTACATATATTATACTTTCTTATTTATATCTAAAAAGCTTAGTTTTTAGTAGAAAAAGGACCTAATTTTTTTATAACTAAATTAAAATACAATATATTTTGTATAATTTTTATAGAAACTTTTTAAAGCAAATAATTTTATATTCTGACTGGCAAGATTAGCCTTATCAGGCCGAAAAAATGAATTTACAAGTAATACTATTAGTTTTTGATGTATTTTTGTTAATTATTTTTAAAACTATAATTTTTTCTCCGTGCAATTGTATATATATTAACAAGTTGACAAACATTTAAGAGCGAAACGATTGCGCTTTGTTTTGTTCATCGTCGCAAATTGAGCCGGGGGAAGTGGGAAAACTCTACGGGAGTTGGAGGAGGGCCATCCAAGAGGTGGAAAATCCAACTGACTGACTGAGTGACTGTCCGTCTGTAGCGTCTGTCTGGCAGACTAGGCTTTGGGGGACTGGGGGTGGCAATGACAGCCATCGTAATTACCGACTGACAGGCATGCCCGTGTCTGCTCACGGGAGCCAATGTCATTTGGTGGCATTATTTGTTTGAAATGTGTGCTCGCCGCTGTAAATCGCAACTCGGAGATAATGGCCGCCGTAATTGGTGGCTCCCAAACCGAATTGCATGTGTTCATATAAAAGCTAAAAATGTAAATGTATGTAAGCCGGTCTAAAACTAATAAGCGGCTGAATAGCCGACCACATACCACGAGTGGATGTGGCCACATAGCCGTATCCGTCGTTTTAGCCATCGGTCGTGTATTTGTGTGAACAAGAATGTGATTTGTTAACAAGATTATGGCCCGCTAGCAAGCACTATACATATATGTATTATACATATAGTCATCTAGGCCCACTAGCACTACTAAAAGCCAAATAATTTTTTTTTTGTTTTTGTTTACGAGTTATGCCGAAAGAACGCAGACACATGTATATACCAGGTTGTAGTCGCGGGCACTGCAATTATATGGCGAATGCCGAGTACGAAAATAGGATGCGTGCCAATTACGGACAAATTGATGTTTGTTAGCTTGTAAAACATAACAGCACAAAAAGCCCACAAAGCGTATCACTCGGATCCGTCGAAACGGTCGAATCCGTCCAGCTACCGACGCGATAATTATATAGTCGTTCGTTCGTCCGATGTTCGGGTTACGTGGCTTAAATTACGGGCTTCACAACCTCCAGTCACGGTCATTGGACAAATCTGATTCTTGTTGCTATATATTTTTAGTTACAAAAGGGGATAAAGTCTGCTATACAGACATTAATAGTCTATGGAGGCTTACATATATTCTCGATATAACAAAACTACATATTAAAGATTAACTTAAGTTATAGAATGGATAGGAATATTTTTGCTTAATTCTATAAGCTAATATAATTAAAAATCATTCTATAAGACAGTAGACATAATCATGAAATATCCAGCATCGAAAATAAAGACCAATAAAGTGGTTCGACAAGGAGAAAGGACCCTGAATTTACATTCCACGGGCAATCGTCCTTTATCTTGTTGTAAAATTCACCGCACAAACTGTTGATTGTGGCACCATAAAAATCCCCATGAAAAGCAACCAAAAATACAAAAAAGAAAAGAAACCGAAAAAATAAAACAACCCAGTCGAAGGGAGGACGAAATATGGTTTGGGACTCGAAAGTGAAAAGCGGATGAGCCGGATGTCCACCGGAGTACGCATGGGTTGGGACTTAATTTAGCTAGGAAGTGCTCAGGGCAGAGGATTCAACTCTGGATTCAGGACTTTCCCCCCACGATGAGGCCATAGACCATTATTGCGAAAAGGACTCGAAAGAGGTGGGTGGTTGGTTAGGTGGTTGGGGTAACAGCCACAGCCTCTGGTGGGTTAAAAAATGCGATAAGTGCACTGCTGGAGTTTCGTACTGGAAGTGGATCACCCGGTTGCACCCACTTGTCGTCCTCGTTATTGCCGGAGACGCTCTTTTTGTGGCCGTGCCCTGTTTCACAACTATGTTTTACAATATTTTGACGTTGTACTACAGCAACCCAGGACTATGATACAAAGGTTCTGGGCCAGGGACTCTGGGGGCCGTGGTGGTGTATGTAGGATAGTAGGAAAACATCAATTTGAGTTTTCCGCATTTTTAATGAATTTCCATGTTTTATGTTCGTGCTGCCTGTCGAAAGACTATGCAATTAGTTTCAGAGTAGTGTAACAAATTAAAATACTGCTGTTTAAGCTTTTTAAAGGGTCTTGTCTAATATACTCTTTATTTCTATATTTATAGCTATGGAGCCAGTTATGATCTCGCAGCTCGTCGTAAAAACGCCACAAGGGAGTCCACGGCCACCCTGAAAGCCTGGCTGAACGAGCACAAGAAGAACCCGTATCCCACCAAGGGGGAGAAGATCATGCTGGCCATTATTACCAAGATGACGCTCACCCAGGTATCCACCTGGTTCGCCAATGCCCGGCGTCGCCTGAAGAAGGAGAACAAGATGACCTGGGAGCCCAAGAATCGCACCGACGACGATGACGACGCCTTGGTGTCCGACGACGAGAAGGACAAGGAGGACATGGAGTCGAGCAAGGGCAACCAGAGCGGCAGCTTGGCCAAAGGTGAGGGATTTGGGAAGGATATTCGCTTTCTTCTTTGGTTTTACAGCCGGCTGTTTTCTGTTCTTAATTGTTTCCTCAGATGAGACCAAAGAGGAGGAGGATGCCATCGATGAGGACCAGAAGTGCTTGGGCCAGGCCAATATTCTGCGAGCAGGCTTCGGTTACCCCTCGGGAGGGGGTGGCGGAGGCGGCTACCATGGCGGTGGTGGTAGTGGCTCTGCCGGTGGCTACCACCCGTATCATCAACAGCATCCCGCTCACTACCAGCCCGGGCAGCAGGGGATAATGCCGACGCCGTTCCACGGGGGCGGTGGCGAGGCCAAGGTGCACGGGACAAGTGAGCAAGGGGATCCAAAAAACCACCTAGGCCGGGACTGTGGCGTGCCGATTCCAGCTACCAAGCCCAAGATCTGGAGTCTGGCCGACACAGTTGGCTGCAAGACCCCGCCGCCGGCCTACATGGGTCACCAGGGGGGTCATCCAGGCGGGATGCCGCTGCAGCAGCACCAACAATACCCTCCGGTTCAGATGCAACCAGAGCTGGCCCAGGGAATGGGACCACAGCAGCCGCAGCAGCAGCAGGTGGGTCAGCCGCAGCACCACCACCATCTCTTCAATGGAGCCGCGGCGGGTCATCCCTACCTGAGGCCGCACACCACGGCATACGGGGGTTTTCTAGGGGCTACGACCCAGCAGCTGCATACTACGAGCAACAGCAACAGCAGCAGCAACAGCAGCACCACCAGCAACAACTGTACTCCCTACAGCAGCAGTATGCCGCGGCAGGAGCAGCAGGTGGCCACCAGCAGAGGGAACGCGAACGGGAACGTGAACGGGAGCGGGATCGGGAGCGGTACACCTACCATCCATACTACGGCAAGTTCGGAACGATACCAGCTCCATCAGCTGCAGCGGCAGGCACATCCGAGTCAGCGGGCGATGGGGTTTCCCGAAGCCCAACCCGATACTCCACCCCAAACTCCGCCGAATATGAAGGTCCTGAGCGGAGCTTTGAGTCTCCTGCCTACCATCGCTTCTCAAGCCCCTATGACCGCTACCTGTCGCAGCAGTAGCACTAATGCCTTCGGCTACTTCTCGGCCAGACTGGGGGAGTACTCGCCCCGGGACGACTTCAGCAGCGGGAACAGCAGCAGCAGTAGCTCCTCCTCGCCCCATCCGCACCAGGAGGCCATGTTCAAGCCGCTCTTTAGGAAGTTTGCCAACTAAGCTGCCTAACAAAAATAAAATCAAGTTATATATTGAAATCATAATTAAGGGCCCAGTGGGATTGTGCAAGCATGTTCGATGACGAATGATGGATTGTGTAATATTAATCGTATACCGCATCAAAAATCTTATTAATAGAGATAACTTCAAGTTTCATTCGAGTTATGCATCGTCGTATTTAGAGTACCAGATCAAATGTTTCTCTTCAAAATGCAATTTAAGCTTAGGTTTAAATACTAAACTAGCGCAATAAGATTGTAAACTGTGATACGTTTTTCATTGTCTAACAGACTTTACACTAAACACTTTGTCTCTATGAACACATAATCTAAATAATTTTAAAATTCGTTTAATAAAATTCTTTATAATCATGAAATAGTGCGTGTTTTTATTAAAAAGGGAAGAGTTCTTTTTTTTCAGGGTAATATAAAATGTCCAATGACACCTATGACAGCTTACATAGTAAACTGACTTTTGCCAAAAAATAAAAAAACTATTTTCGTTTGTTAATTACCTTCTCAAACCCTCGAATGATTATTGATTTTTAATTTATTTGCTTTTCCCATTTTTTCAATTGGATCTTTCCGCTAATTACCTTTTTTTCTGCGACAAGTACAATGGGCTTTTGAATAAAAAATTATAACATTAAAACCAGTGCCATTAATCGATTCAAAATGCAATAAATTAATATTTCTTTTTCAAAAATATGGCTCGAGGGGAAAACATGACATGCGAGTTACAAAAATGGGTTGAGGGTAATTAGGTTACTTTTTCTGACATATTTTATAAAAGGATTTTATTAGGAGAGGCTTTTGAAGAGTGGAGGTTCTGAGAAGTACCTAGACTTTGATGATTATTATGATTGGTGGAAATAATGGTATAACCCAAACTTTAAAAGAAAATAAATCATCCAAAATGGTTTTAAATTTCAAGGCTTTTACCATAAAGAAGCCCAGTTTTTGGCAAACAAGTTTGCAGATACATTTGTCCATCGGTATGTTGTGCAGAATTGTCGCGCAAATTGTCAAATATGCGCGACATGGAAACCGAAACAAACTTGGCATCTTTGGGCCTGTTCGGTGTACAAGGGAAGTTGGCGTTTATGGGGAAAACAATTTGTAACGACTATCGCCGCTTGATAAATTAACATTTAGCAGTGGCTCGATTATGCAACAAATTGCCAATTCAATTGAAATTGACAGTCGACAGTCGATAGACGACGACAGACGACAGTCGGCGGCGGTCGAGGAAGGTAAACTAAACGTAAGTTGCGATGCTGCGACTGCCGCCGTTCTCGTATTTGTAAGTACAGGTGATTAATTTGGTTTTGTTTGACACACTTTACATATGTAGAGAATGGCCCACGTGGATGGGCTGTAGCTGGTACTAGCAAGTGCCACATGTGGCGAGTGGCGCTCACAAATGCAGCTAAGCTAATTTCTTGAACGGTTATTCAGTGGGTCTAGATTGTGCCATCAGCGGGACATTAGTTCCGTTCCCATAGTTCAGTTTCGCTTTATGGGTTGTTTTACAATGCTAAATGACCGCCGTGGTACCGGGCATAAAATTTCCCATTACCAATCAGTAAGCCGGTTAAATTAATCGTATCTGAAAGCCAGAGATGAGAGATCCTTTTGCTTGTGAAGCGATCTCGTTTATGGGCCATAAACCATGGGATCTCCGGATCGGTACGGTGGCTGAGATGCTGTCACAGCCACTCGACATTCCCGGTATTGTTTCGGAACAGTATGGATTGGATCTTGGTCGGGGTTTTGGTCACCAGCGGCGAGGATATACGACAGTTAACTTATCTTGCATCCACTTAACGTCTTGCGGCCATAAATCAATCCTATGGCCGAAATGCTCGATGGCAGCCAGCAGGCGAATTAATCACTTTGAAAATTGTTACCCATTTGGAAACTTGTCGCATTCGCTTTCCAGCCTCGATCTCGGCTCGTCGTGGTCGTTTCCAAGTATGCCTTGTGTGTGGGCAATCCTTCAACACCATGTGAAAATCATGGTAATTTATTATTGACAGTCGCAGTAGTAGGTACGACTCGTATTTGTGATTAGTCGTATTTGTGTGCTGTGCTGTGCCTTCTTTGTGCCCAAATCCCAGATGAGAGATCTCTTTCCGGGGATTTGAGTGGTCATCCCCATCCATGGCCATCTCTTACACTAATGCCTAGCCTTGACAAGTATTAATAAAAATTAATTTGAAATATTACAGACTTTCCATGTAGAAGTAATACTTGTACTTAAAGTTTATTTATTTTCATTGCTAATAAGTCTCAGTATCAGTATCCAATGTTCGTGCTCCTGAAGCATAAACAATGGAAAACATAAACCAAAATGCTAATCTTAAGACGCTTTCTCCCATCTTTAAGCCAAGTTAAAAGCTCCTCAAGCAATTAGTTGCACTCAACTCTATTGACCCGGAAACTGCTGTTCAGGATATTTTATTAAATTTTCACAAATTTTCATATTAATCGCAAATATTCACACTCAATTATAAAATACCAAAGAACACAAATTTGCCCCAGGAATAATGAAGGGATGGCAAATTCCTTGAGATGCCTTGAACATTCTGCTGGGAAAGACAGCTCCTTCCAGAGTCCCCTTCCTGAGAGGGAATGGGGATATTTTTCGGTGGTGGGCCAAGCCGGAGAGTGCCAAGATGCTACAAGAATGCAAAGTGTCATTTAGTGAAACAAGACGAGAACAAATACATAGCACCCCAGCATCCTAGCAGACACTAGCATAGAGGATGTGTGTGGGTGAGGGGCTCCAAGGCAAACATTCTGAAGGCTTCCAACCCCGAAACTGCGACCCCCAGGACTCAATCCTTTGCTTCGTCTTGGAGCAGTGCAGCGCATCCTTAACCACGCAGCTTACTTACGCAGCTTCTATAAATTATAGCTGCCGCTTGTCATGTACGGAAATCCTTGTGTCAGTGCAGCCGAAATGCCAGGATCCGGGACTCCAGGCGGCAGGCTGCAGGCCTCTCCAGTTTCTGCCACTGACAGTGGCAGGCTGGGCGCTACGTTTGTTTTCAACAAGATTAGAAATACGTTGCAACGCACAAAAGCCTCAGGAACAATTCAAGCAGACACATCTCGCAACTATAACAATTAATATCCTGAAATTGCATCGTGACATGAGTGTGTAGTCCTGTCTATTCCGGCTGCTGTTGCTCCTGCCTGTGCCCGTTGCCATTGGAAGGCATTTGCACACGAGGGCGTATACTTGATGGCTGTATGCTAATTTCCCTAATGCCGTTCTCGAGATGGAGTGCGATTGTGTGTGAGTTATAGACTTGGCTCAATGAGTAGAGCCCCAGAAGACATTCGGCTCTGGCCAAGACCATGGAGTACAGGGTGTTTTAAAGGAAGTTTAAAGGGAGTAAATTAAATTAATCTTTAGAGTTTTTATTTGGAAATACTATAAAAAAAAACTTTAAATATATTTAAATTTTGTCAATGGATTGTCTCAATAATTGATTACAGCCAGCCAGAGACATTTCATCATCATCTATTCCGAGCCACACGCCTCGGCTTAGAGTCATATTTAATGGACATCTATTGTGGGCAATCAATCATGACCATACCTATGTTGGTCTCTTGTCCCACAAATTTAAAGAAATGGAGAATTAAACTACAAGCAAAGAAATCCAAACAGGGAAACAAAATACACACAAAAAACTAAAAGCGCCCACAACATGTGGGACCAATGGCCACCTCGGTGAGGGCAACTGATTATTCCCGACACTCGAGTATACAAATGTATATTTAGACAACTGCCGGTTGATAAGACAAGCTAAAATAATTATGACCATTAGAGCACATTAGGCCCTGGTGTTGGGATGTGACAGTCGACTGAGACACCTTGTGGGATAAATAGTTTTGGGCGTTTTTTAATATCGAAAATTTTAGGGAGTGTTTTCGGCCATACTTGTTATAGAACAGAAACATTAAATGAAGAAAATATAAAAGACTACAACACCCTGGAGTTCTGCAAAGTTAAAACCCATATTTAAAAATATATAAAATCTCTCCGCATTAACAAGGAAAATAGTTAATTATGCGGGCCAAGAAAAGAATGTATATTTTATTAATGAAATAGAATTTTTCACATCTTAATGAGATGACTTTGAAGCTCGCCTCTCTTTGGAAAAATGTCGCCACATCGTCTGCACCGGTCTTTTTCCTGGGAATTACCCTACCTCTCGGATATACCGATGTGTGTGCATCTTAAGTGTGTCTCTCTGATTCCTAGAGCAGGTATTTAAGATACACTATCGAATTTCAGCGGTCGAATCTTCTCGGCGGTCTAATTAACATGACAAAGAAATGTCACGTGTGGAAATTTATGGACAGCACTATACGGTTGGGCTGCAAGGTTGCAGATGGCCAGATGATAATATTTACGATGCCGTTTGATTGGTATACCAATCGATTTCCTTGCCGCCAATATTTCAACGGTCTCCGGTTCGGTCTCGATTCGGGAAACCTTCTTCAGGGAAACCTAGAGAGTCGCAGAGCCTGCAACTCTGCACCCAGGGCACTCAGAGATTCAATTCCGCTGTCATTAAAACAGCTAATTTTATTATACGGCTGACATTTACTATCTACAGGTTTGTCGCCGTTCTCCAAAAGATATCCCAGCCCGGAGCCCGCAGACAGTTCGGGACTCGGACTCGGATTCGGACTCGAAAAGCTTCGATTCTTCTTTGTTTTTTATTCAACTTATCTTGTTCGGCTCTGTGTTGTGTTCATCCATGATTTGTATTATACACGATGTTTGAAATAAATTTAAATTGTGTTACCGATTGTTTTTAAAGGGGTCCCCAGATTATGCGTTTTGTTAGACGATTTCTCTTATCTTAATGCGGCCCATGGTGGAGACAGAATGTCTGGCGATCCACCTCGGCCCAGAACTGGGCCTGGGCTTGGGCCGATTCTACAATATACGAACGTCTACATATAGCGAGGCATTGTTTAATGGAATTTTCTTGTAATGCCTTTCTGAAATTGGTTTTTAAAGTGCGGGCCCAACATTTAATTTGTTTGTTAATAGTTTCGAAATGCGTGTGCGGCTGCACCCTTTTGCAATGGTGACCAAGGTCCGAGCAAGAGCCCCAGTACCTCTATCTGTATCTGTATCTGCAAATGCATTTGTATCTCCAATACTGCGTCTGCATTCTGCGTGGAATATCTGCCAATAATATAGCCTGTTGTTGCTTAAATCGGGCGTAAGCGAATCAATTCTCATTTTAATTTATTGACACGAACACAAGCGCCAATGCACGGCAATGGACACGGACAGTGGACAGCTGCGGACACGGACAACGCCAGCCCGGAGTTCAGAGTACG